CGGGAGGTCCAGGGACTTAGAACTAAAAATGCACGTGAGATCACAGGCCGACTCTTAAGACAGACAAAACTTTTGAGTCATAATCCTTACCAGGTTCGGCATCAAATCAGTGGCCAATCTCCCATCCAAGGTTCTCTATAAATACTACTTATATATTCAGCTCCAAAGTAGCTCTTTCCTCCCCAACCCCAATCCTACATTTTATTCAACCCCTTTTAGTTTAACTGAAGCAAGCTGAATAATTACCGCAAATTGTAACAATCTTTGGTGCAACAATGTTTCCAAACCCCAGAGCCAGTCCCGTATTGCTAGCTAGCTGGAACATTTCTGCTGTCTTAGAAGAAACGTTACTTCAACGTAGACGGAGCTTCACACTCTAGCCATCTGTTCTCCCGGAAACTTTTATAAAATCGAATCAAAGACCTGTGGTGGTTCGGCGGCCACACCAGAAATAGGAGATGAAAAGTTAATTCACTAAGAAAAAATAGATGTTTTTATAAGACTTAATAATTTGGTTTGTATTAAACATGAAAATAAGTACTCAGATATCTCTCTCTCTTCAGTGAGATATTTTATAAACTGGGAAGGCTGTTGGGGTGGATTTTAAAAGTTTGGCGGCAAAATTTCAAATGTTCATCACGATTTTAAAAAAACGTGTTATAAATCTGCTTTCTTCCCTGAGGGCTACATAGTAAAAATAATCACTACTCTTAAATACAGGGTTTGATACGAACTGTTAATTAGTTTAGCGTGCACAGGCAAACTATCTCTGAGGTTTGTTGCTATGTAACATTAATTACAACCTTTGTCCTAAAAGGGCATACTTGGCTCCACTAGACCAGGGGCAAGCGGACAAGCAGAATACAGACTGCTGTTCTCCAAGATTATCCTAACACTCCCACACTGACCGCTCGTCTCTGCGAGGCAGCAGGACTCTTCACCTGCCTTCCCTCCAGCATCTCGGGTCTAACTGCCTCTCCGGAGGATGAAAACCGATGCTTATAATTGGAACTGGCAGAAGTGGTCCGCAGCCTAGGGTGAGGCTCTATTTAAGGATTCACAAAAGGTTTGGGAGATGATATCCCAGTGAGATCATGTAGCTAAGCATGGGTTATGGAGGGGGAGAAGAAACGGAGGGAGAAGGAGGGACAGACACATCTCAGAGCCATGGAGACCATATCATATTCCTGGAACCCAAAGAACTGCCAGATCCACCATGGAACATAACCCATATTTAGCCAGGTTCAACAGTCAGGGAAATATGGGCTAAACCTTACAGTGTCAGTCCTCTGGCCCGTAATATTAGGCTACTGAAAATCCTTGTAGGAGAATTTATAGTTGGGGAACTGAAGATTTCAGAAGACAAAATAGTGTCTACTGAGTGAGCCAAGGGAATAATTTTGATCTTCATTGAGATGACAACCTAAGGGCTCCCATGAAGGGATTTGGTAGCATGCACAAGGTCCTGGGTTCCAATCCCAGCAATATAAAACAGACTGACAAGCAGCTTGTGGATATATGCTTTCTACATCCTACATCAGCAGTAATGGACATGGCAGAAATAATTCTTCTGTTCTCTAAAAATTTTCAAATCATCCTTCACAACAAACTTGGATCTACATGCAAATCGGTGTGCCCTTTACATACAACATGCCTGCCAAGGAGCACCTGTCTTCCAATCAGTTCTCCATCCATCTCCTCGTACCCTAGACCCAACTCTCAGGTCCTTCCATGTTTCCCAGGGCCCAAAGGAGTTCCACTCCTCGGCTGCACTCACATTCACTTCATACCTCCTCATCCCGAGAAGCAGGACAGAGTAATGAAGGCTCGGATCTAACTCTCAGTTCTTCTCCTCAAAGATCCCTTAGGAGGAAAAACCACAAGCCCTGCACTATCACACACACACACACACACACACACACACACACACACACACACACACCCCGTTTTTCGAGACAGGGTTTCTCTGTGTAGCTTTGCACCTTTCCTGGAATTCACTCTGTAGCCCAGGCTGGCCTCGAACTCATAGAGATCCACCTGCCTCTGCCTCCCGTGCGCCACCACTGCCCGGCGCCCTGCACCACCTTTAACTCTCTCATCCATTTTTCTTTTTTACTTAAAGCTCCCCAGCAAAAGCTATGTGAAATTCTCAATGCAGCAAAAATATATTCCAAGTGCTACATGCTGAATACACTTCATTTTCCTCAAAAGGAAACATCTCCAGGAAGAGATTTGTGGTCAAAGAACTATAATTCACATCACAAATAGATACCGAACAAAGAGGTGATAATGTGTAGAGGACATGAACAAGGGAGTGGTGAACCCAATGTAGTAGCCCAGGGAAATGCAAAAGAAAGCAGTCAGGGCAGGTGTGGCAGGACACACCTGGGATTCCAGCACTCAGGAGGCTGAAGCAGGAGGATAGCAGTGTTGCAACCAGCTTGGACTATAGAGGAGAGCCTGTCCGTTCCCCATCCCACTCCCCAACCCCCGC